TCTAGTATAGATCACCCTACTTGCGATCTTATTTCAGTCGGGTGTGTGTGTGTCGGGAAAGTGCTTGTAGCCCTAGTTCCATCGCAGTACTTTTTCACAAAAATTGTATCATGTATCTTTCTGACTCATTTATTTTCTTCCGAGATATATCTCGAGTTTAATAAAAGTCGTTTACCAGCTGCTGCCATGCATGAGAAGGTTCGATGCTAATTCTATCAGAAAAGTGAAGGAAGTAATCAACAATTTCTTACCGAAGTTTAAACAATCAAGAGGAAAATTCCGTTTATTCCTGATTCAAATCTAAATAGTGACAGAAGCACTCTGAAAGGAGCGACAAAGTGACACGAATTCACCGATGGAAGATCTCAACTCGGCTTTAATATCTAAATATATTACTCTTACTTTCCAGAATATTCCTGCAGGTCAAGTAAACTTTGTTAGAAGGATCCTTCTTAGCTAAGATGATGGAGGCTAAGTGCCACATTTGAGCAGAGTCCACTTTGTGAATATAAGTATCTGGTTTTAATTCTACAATTTTTTTTTTGAGGAGAAGGAAACAACAACCGATCAAATTCCGCTTTGTGACTTAGCAACACAATCTAGATTTGTTTAGTTCACAAGGAAGTAGGGGAGTAACGGCTGATCAAAGTCCGCTATATAGTGAAACACGAGTATTTAGTTTAGAGGCAAATTTTACGAAAGACATATTTGAAAATGCAAATTGTAAAACAATTTTACAAGCAGAAATAAAAGTGATACTATTTCCCTGAGAAAAATTTCATCTCATAGCATTGAAATGAAATGCTTCTAATTTGTATTGAACATCAGGTAGGTGTCGTATAGAGCACCTTACATACGATCTTATTTCATGGGTGTAAGTGCTGGCGGGAAAGTGTTTTCGGGGCTAGTTCCGTCGGAGTATTTTATCACAAAAATAGTGTCATGTATCCATCTGACTAACAACTATAAATATCTAGTTTCAACTCTTCAATTTTGTTTCGAAAAGATGAAGGAAACAGCAGCCGATTAAAGTCCGCTCTGTGACCGGCGGCGCAGCAACATAATCTAGAGTTATTTTTAGTTTTAAAGAAAAAGGGGGGTAACGGCTGATCAAAGTCCGCTTTATAGCGAAACACGAGTATCTCGTTTCAAGCTCTTTTACAGAAGCAAATGTATAGTTTGTAGAAGCACGCCCTGTGATAGAAACTACAAGAAACGACCAACCAAAAAAACTCTTCCCAAAGCTTAGGTAACCGAGTGGGAAAAAAGCATTCTTACTATTCTTTCACAACAAGCGAAAAGGAAAATGGTTCAAAAATGAGCGACAAAGCGTGAGTTGAAGGTTCCAAGAAATGCCTTAACAGGTAAAGGCATCAACCTACCTGCTTGGAGATTCCCTGCTATCGGGTATGTTCTGCCTTCAGTGTCGATATCAGCCCAGGGAGCGAGTATCTGTATCACCAGCTCGTGTGCCTTCAAACAGGAAGATTTATGGTCCTATGACTGATCGATGACTATAGTTATGCAAAGTGAAAAAACTCTACGTTATGACGTAAGTACTTGTTTCGATTTCCTTTTCTGAGAAATAGAGGAACAACAACTGGCCAAAGTCCGCTTTAAGATGAAACGAACTGAAGTATGCAGTTTTGATTTTTTTTCTGGAAAATACAGGAACAACAACTGAACAAAGTCCTTTTGATAATGCAACTCGAACTTCTCTGGTTTCCATTTCGTCTTCATCCTAAAATACGACTTATTTTCTCGCGAAATATCATGGGAACAGGTCTAAACGTGTTAACTAAAATGCCACGTAAAATCACGGTTGGATGAATTAGAGTTACTATTTTTATAAATATCTAGTTTCCATAACTATAAATATATAGCTTAAATTCCTCGAATTTGTTTCAAGGAGATGAAGAAAACAACAGCCGATCATAGTCCGCTTTGTGACGCACAAAGATTTATCTAGATTTATTCTTAGTTTCAAAGAAACAGGAGGGTAACGGCTGATAAAAGTACGCTTTATATTGAAACACGACTACCTAGTTTTAAGCTTAATTAAAGGACCCAAATATACAATTTATAAGGGCACATCCTTTGATAGAAGCTACAGGAAACGACCAACCAATAACCTCTTCCCAACGCTTATGTAACCGACTGGAAAATGACATTTCTTTCGCGAAAAGCGAAAACGAAAATGGTTTAGAAATGAGCGACAAAGTGTGAACATTGTGTTATGCTGAAGGTTTAAAGAAAGATGTTATTTTTCATCCAGAACAAATCCCCATAAAGGTCATACTACTTATAAATAATCAATCATTAGCTGATGAAACATCCATTAAATACCTTGGAGTTTACAGAGATTCAAATATTAGTTGGAAGAGCCAAATTAACTAGATTGCCAAAAAGATCAAAAGAAGCATAGGTATTCTCTCTAGGATTCGTTATTTCCTAAACAGAAAAACGTTGCTAAGCCTGTATTATAACTTAATAGAGCCAACCCGAGGCATATATAGCCCGGGGAATGCATACATACATATATTCGCAACTGATATACCATATACAATCCTGATATACAGTAAATTCCTTACACATTAAAAAAAAAAAAAAGGTATACATTACTAACATGCAAACTTCACCAAGTCTGGATTAACAGAGATGGGCAACCGCTTACAAGGACATAACTACGGTTATACAGAGGCCAGAAAAAACCTGCCAGAAAAAAACCCTTTAGGGAAAAACATGACAGGAAATCTGGGTAGGAACCATGGCCCAAACTCAGAGCAGTTGGCAGCCCATCCTACGAGGCTTCACAGCTAAAGAAAATATGTTTTCAAACTAAAATAAATTTGTCATAAGCCAGAGGTGAACGGTTGGTTCTGAGGCCTAGATGGACATCACGTGCTATACTTTCTCTTATATACCACTGCATCATTACCCATGATGCTCGGGCCTAAGGCCCAGGCCTTGTCGTATCTCGTGCCGACAAAATATCTATTTCTGCCTTATTCGCAGACTCATTCGTCAGAAATACCATATTTTGTCTCCACTACACAACAAATAACACAGTAGTGTACACCAAATAAGTTTATTTAGGGAAGCCTGCCGAGAACCAACCCGAGGCATATATAGACTGACAAAGAATTGGGCAAGACGCACGAGGCTAGGTGATATAATACCACCGAAAACACGAAAACGCCTTCAGAGCCCAAGAAAACGCGATACTTGGAGTCATTGTTCAAAATTATCGTCTACGTATGTGTCTTTGGCTTGTACCGATTTCCAAAAACCATGTCGTTGGAAAACTCTGTCGTTTACTCCATTACTTGCTATCGTAATGGCTCCCCCAGATCTTAGAGAATGCAAACCCAACTTGGACGGTTCAACTCCGAGACTTTGCAGGTCCCAGCGAAAAGCCCCTCTAATTGTAGAGTAACTAATGGGCTTATCAGGGGCAACAAGCTTGCAAGAGCCCTTCCCTTTAGAAATAGGCTTGAAATAAAATCTTTGGAATCAGGGCGTATCTTAAACATAACTAAACACCTCTTAAGCAACTCAACGGGGCATACAGAACTAGACAATTATAAGATAACGACTTCGTCGCCTTTACGGAGCTGGGCATTCTTGCTTTTCAAAACCTTAATAATCATGAAGCCTTTTTTAAGGGAAATATCACTTCTTATTCTAGACACATCGTTAAACCATAACAGTCCCATTTGCTTTGGAAGAGAGCACAGTCGTCTTCAGTCGATCTTTCAGTCCCTCAAGCAAGTTGTCAAGCGGTCCGTCCCGGAATGCCCTAAATCCCGAATGAAAAATATCTAAACGAGAGATAAAATAAGGCAAAGTGAGGAGTACAATCCAACAAGAAATAACTAAAGAAATAGACAAATAAAAATAGAATAACCGGGAATAATCAAACTCCAACAGAGAATACATAGACAACTGGAATCTGCAAAGTGGACCACAAATGGGTCCCTTTAATTTCAAACAATGCTGAATAAATTCTTGACACAAACTCGTGTCATAACGCAATACGCAATATTGACGAGCAATTCTATGATTTAAGTCACTTCAAGCCTGAGTAAGTGCCAAACAACCCATAAGCTAAGTACAAAGGACTTAGAGCAATTACGCTGGGATTGACTGAAACAAAATCACATTTGCACCTAGAAGAGAAAACTTCCGCGGTGAATACAAAAAGCCCGCCGGGCTAATTACAACGATCACAGTCTATACTGAACTTCGTACAGAAGCCTACGCAAGCACAGGGAGATCTGGGGCGGCGAAAATCAATTCGAAGGGCTATAGCATCAAAGTCCAGGGGTCTGGAACCGAAAAGCGAGTTTCGGGCTTTCCCTCTGATAAAGAGACCTGGGAACTTGGGTAAAAACACCCAGTCAATTACGAAACTGTTCCGTTGCACACCGTCTCTACAAAATAAAGTTCATAAGCAAGAGGACTTCCAAAAGGGGAGGATAACCGCTCCTCTCGCCTTACACAATTCCATGTGCTTTACCACTCAAATTAATAGGCACACTGGAGGACAAATCCAATCATTATCGTGCCCCCAATCTTGGGAGAAGGCATCTACTACTACACAGCCAGTCTGAAAAAATCTCAGTGTTAAATCTTGGTACCTTAGCGTTATAGGAACAAGCAAATCTGTCAACGGTGTGGGACCCCCAAAATAGGTTAATTCTTTGAAAGATAGCTTCGTTAATGGTATAGTCATCATAATCGGTTAAATTGCTTATTGCATCAGCCTTAGCGTTAAGCTCCCAAGGGATCCACTTAACCTCAAGTGATATGTGAAACTCAAGACATATTTGGATAACTAGGAGGGCCAATTGGTCCATGTCAGCTACCCTACTATTGTTTTGAAGAATAGATTCGACGTTCTGGTTATCGGAATACCAAATAACCTTAACACCAGAAAGATGACTCGCGAAAGCTTCCAAGGAGAGGCAAACAGCTTTGAGTTCTCTCCATATAGAACTTTAGGCACGCACTACAGGAGACCAGTTCTGATAAAATACTAAATTTGATTCTTTTACGAAAGCACCACAAGCCGAATTGGGGGCATCTGAAAAGGTGACCCTGACCGGAAGGGACTGGACCGACGAACAAACCTTGCTATTGAAGAATACCAAGTTGTTCTTCCAGAAACTGATTTCTGAAAGAGAGTCGTCTGAGAGAAAAACTTCGCTTTCCCAAGAGCGCGCCGAATTCACGACCAAGAAAAGAAATCTAGTCATAATACGGGCGAAGGAACCCACACAGGGAGAGAGGGAAATTATTTGACCCGTTACAATGGCGACTCCCTTCACGGGCACTTTCCAGGGAGGTTGACAAGACAGTGGCTCAACAAGGCCAGCGTTTAACTTTTCAATACGTTTGTCGGTTGCTTGTATAGTCCCATCAATAGTGTCGAGAATCACACCCAACCAGGTGATAACTAGGAGAGGCTCCCAAAGGGACTTTTCCTCATTAGGAACAAATCCAGACTTGAGCAAATCTGAATGGACGACTAAACTGTTAACTTTAGCAGAAACAAAATCTGTTCCCCCTCCTAAACCATCGTCGAGGAAAATAGCTATCGGGATGCCCTGGCTCCTCCACGATTTCTGTAATGGCTTAAAAATCGAAGTGAAAACATACGGGGCTAAAGAAAACCCGAAAGGAAGCACAGAGGCTCTATGAGCTCTGAAAATTTTCAGAACTGAAAATATCTTGAAACCCCGTTCCCAAAATCCCAAGCAAAAGCGAGAAATTTTCTGTGGTCTGGGAAAATTTCAATGTGGTGATAACCAGACTGAAGGTCAAATTTAAACAAGTAATAATTACGATCAAAACAACTGCGTAACGACACCCAGATCTTCACATTTGAACTTCTGCTCGTATATTAACTGGCTGACATGTCGAAGATTCAAAACGAGCCTTTGCTTTCCCGAACTACGGGTAGAAACTGAAAGTGGGTTAATGATATCGGGCTTACAAGCAAGTTATGCAATTAGGACCGAGCGAAGTAAATCGCTGACAGCTTGCGAAACAGAAATCACTATTCTCACGAGCAGAAGTATTGTTTCTCTTGACAAAAAGTGTTGGAAGTTGGAGGAAGGGAATTTTGTAACCCTGCATAATAACATTTAGGACAAATTGCGAAACTTCCAAAGTACGTCAAAAATCCAGAAATTTTCTGAGCCCTCCACGCACAGAAGAATAGGTCAAATCAACTGCAAGAGAGCCTGAATCCGAAGGAATCTAACAGTAAAGAATCAGCACAAGCGGCAACGCTAGGATCCGAGTCAATGGCACTGCCTAATGCCGATTGCGAAGGTAACCTACTAGCTTCGATATTAACAAAGGAAAGAACTACACCTGAGTTGTAGCGGTCCTCTAGTCACTTTGTTTTCTTAAGAGACTCGTTGAATTTGAGGCGCTTGGTCTCCTTCATCTGACTTTCCGCCGATTCTTCGTTCGACCGTTTGATCTGAGAAACGGTCTGCTCCAAGAGGCCACTGAATTTGTCATAAGCCAGAGGTGAACGGTTGGTTCTGAGGCCTAGATGGACATCACGTGCTATACTTTCCCTTATATACCACTGCATCATTACCCATGATGCTCGGGCCTAAGGCCCAGGCCTTGTCGTATCTCGTGCCGACAAAATATCTATTTCTGCCTTATTCGCAGACTCATTCGTCAGAAATACCATATTTCGAGGAATCTTAGAAGAGAATATTGAAACTCCCTTCGCAAATCTTGTTAGAGGCCTAAGGCTTACGTAGGAGGCGACAGAAAGAAGAATCTGGACTTGATCTTCGTTAATCAAATTGATAAATTTCATCACAGCGTTGACGAGAGCACAGGGTAAGAGATTTAGACGATCTTTTTCTTACACAATTAAACTCAATTCCGGATGACTGTAGACTTCGCTGAATTCACCCATTGTTCATGGCTAATAATTTTCACTCTATTAAAGACTTACTTATCATTTCTTATTTTCGGACTTCAGCATTTTGTTTTAAATAGAAGTAAGGTTTCAAGCGCGGAACTCGAAGCGGCAGACATAACAAGAACTTGCCCTTCGCTTATTTGCATCGTCTCCGCTCTCATCAGCCAATCAGTGACAGTTCTTTCATCTTATATTGATTTTATCAGTATAACGGTTCGGTCAGAATGAACACCAACCGGGAGTGAGATTTCAATTGAAAATCTGAGCACGCAAACTCAAAATCGAACAACTTATTCTGATAAATCGAATTTTTATCAAGTGTCTATTTTAGAGCTTAAGCACTAATCACGTAAATCTGGCTCACAACCAGTGACATTTTACGTGAAAAATTAATTGTTAAACTCTCAGAATTAAAGTTTTAGATTTATCATCTCTGCCTGAAATATTGAGAAATATATTTTTTCTAAGGACACAGAAAAATGCACCCTGCATCGAAGCATTGAAACTGATGAGCCCATAGAAGGGAAAAAAAAAGAAAACCTCAGTTCTTTATAGATTTTGATTTTGTAGCGTAAATATGATGCTTTTGTTTTGTGGTCTGCGATTCAAAATTCATTAAAACAATTTGTTTTTTGACAGTAACAATAAAGTTATTGAGATGGAAGAGACTCGCTGAAGAAGCGAAAACTTACTTAAGTTGCTTTAGTTTACAGCTAAGGTGGCAATTGTCGATACCTTTGATACCACATTTCCCCGAAAAAATTTCAGGTATCTTATTCCACACAATAACAAGACTCACTTTTGACTGCTGATGATTTTTCACCGATTCGAGATGAAAGATAAGCTTATCGGAAAACTGTCTTTACTCCATAAGCGTGATGTACTTTGAATTACGATAACACTGGACAAAATCAAGGAAGAGAATTTTCAAAGACAGATAGTTTGTCAGAATGAGGTGCGACGAATGCCTACATGGAAATTTATGAATTTTTAAGATTTTGTTCTGAAACTTAAATGTCTGACTCGAAAATCCAATTTTCAAAATAAAACAACAACAAAGCACAGCGGCGAACCCGTGATTGATTTATTTTGTTCAACAAAGAATTATTTTGTAAATGTTTGAAAGTTAACGTTCATCCCCTTTCAAATACATGTATGTTATTTAATCATATTCCTCTTTAGGTTCTACTAGAAATACACCATTACATTTCTATCAAAAGAAACAAACATGGATGTTATTGCTTTTCGCGAGATGGGGAGAAAATTCAAGCATTAATTATTGTCCTGCCCATTCGAAAAAGTTGTTTAATTATTAAAGTAAACATTCATCCTCAAATTGCGTAGAATGTTTTCTCAAATCTTTCATGTCTTTGGGGTATGAAAAGAAACGAAGATTGTAACTGCGTTTGAGAATCCTTTGAGAAATTGTTTCACTAAATCTGAAAACTTTTGTTATTGAAACGGAGCTTGAAAAGTTCGGATTTGTTAGTGGTTGAAGTAATCGTCGATACAAACCTAATAAATTATTAGTGTTTTCGTGTAAAGTGCACTCCACAAAATTTCACTCACCTATCTTTTGTTCACTGTTGCCCCAAGCTTCATCGTTTACCCCAAAGATGCTGAATACGTGTTCTTGAAAATCTTTAATGGTAAAATGTCCTTTGATCACGGCTTGAAACAGATTTATGCCGGAAACACCGCAGACGCGCTAAACTTCAGCGAGTTCCTTCACATCGCAGTAAATTTGCGAGACAAAACACTGTTTTTCCCTTTCGAGAAGTTATAATTTGGTCAAAATTAACATATGAACTTGAAACCCTTGGGGATGCCTCCGGAATCATTTTGAACCAATAGGATTTCGCAGTGGCTCGCGCATGGCGGTTGAACTGGAATAATTGGTAGCGGGGTCCACTGATGTAATACGATTCATTTGGTTACGAGTATGGAAATTAAAAATTCTTGTCAATATATCGTTTGCGATGATCGATGAACTGAGTGGGGTGCAATTTTTATCTTTATGCTCTTCTGGGAAACTCATTCAATGCCCTAAAAAGTGAAAATCGATTGAAATAACTAACGAAGATGTTATTTTTACAGATACGCCAAACATATTGACAAGTTTTCACCCGGACACAGTTCAACTTAGTTAATCCTTTCAACCGAAAAAGGGCTCAAAGACTTGAATTCGTCTATTCCTTGCAAAAGGATTAGGCCAATGTTGCTTTTTATTCCGCATTTCGGAATACCAGTTGTACTGCTAACAAACGTATCAAGCAAAGTGGTAATCAAATTCTCTCGACTATTGATAGGAAATTGTTTGTCAGCTTAAAGGGAGAACTGCGAATCAAATCTTGAAAGTTTAAGCGATACGCAGTGTTAGAGTATTAACGAACTGGGATAACGCGATAGGACAGTAGGGAACATGATTGGGTGCAAAGGTTACGTAAGGTATGTTACGTAACATATGCCCCTAAACGCAACTTGAAAAAGTCAAGTTGCATGCATGTTTGTCAGTTGTAGCTTTAGGATTTAGTAGTGAATATTAGAGTTTGGTCGGCCGTTTAAATCCACGGTGAAGACTGGAAGCATTATGTCGAGCGCGTGGAAATGTTCTTCGAGGTTAACAATGTGCTGGAAGAAAAAAAAGTACCGACCATACTTACCTTGGTGGGTAATAAGATGTATGCGTTAATTGGAAGCATTGTATCTTTAAGAAGGCCGAAAGATTTGTCCTTTGCGGAAGTCGTGGATAATCTGGTTAAGCACCTGGATCCGAAGCCGATAGTCATAGCCGAGCGTTTCAAGTTCCATAGAGCGGAACAGCAAGAGTCGGAATCGATAAGAGAATCCTTGCTAGATTTAATAAGTTGGCTGAGACTTGCGAGTTTGGCAGTTGTCGCGAAAAGGCGATTCGGGATCAGTTCGTGTGCGGTTTAAAGGAGCGAACGATTCAACGCAAGTTACTCGCAGTCGCGGATTTGACTTTACAGACGGCTCTCGAAAAGGCGCGTGCTGCTGAATTGACCGAAAAGGAAACCACCGCATTGCATGGAGGAAGTGTGGAACAGACGAAAAAAGTGGCTGTTACGTTTCCCGAGTGCTTTCGTTGTGGAAAAGTCAATTACTCTTCGGACACGCGTTTCTTTCGGAATTCCAAGTGCCATGGTTGTCAAAAAGTTGGTAATGTTGTCAAGAAGTGTCCTGAGAAAAAGGGGAAAGAGCAAAGACCGGAAAGTGGGAAGAAAAGTGGACGCCAAAGTCGAAATTGGGGAAAAAAGAAGAAACAACAAAAGTTTCGTTTGGTCGAAGAAGATCTGGAACCCAAGCAATCAGTGAAAGGAAGCGATTGGCCCATGTTTACTGTCTCCCGTGGAAAATGTAAAGCGTTCATCGTGACAGTAGCAATAGATGGGAAAACTGTGGATATGGAACTTGACACTGGAGCTTCTGTAACTATTATTCCCAAGCGCGTTTGGACTGATATTCTCGCGTCAAAACCTGTAGGGCACACAGACCTGAAACTACGAAGTTGATCTGGTCATGAAATACCTGTTATTGGAGAAGCTAAGGCTCATATCGTTGCATATCGTGACTAGTTGAACTTCAAAAAGTTGTATTACCGGTTGTAATCACAGGAAATGATGGTCCAGTGTTAATGGGTCGCAAATGGCTGTCCATGTTGAAGTTGGACTGGGGACGGGTAAGGTAGATTACTTTAGAACCGGTTAACAAGTTGGACTTCAAACGAAGTATTCGTCGTTGTTTGATGGTAATCTGGGAAGGAACCATTAAAGGAGTTACTGCACATTTGAAGCTTAAAAAGAACGCAGTACCGAAGTTCTTTAAACCTAGGCCAGTACCGTTTGCGTTAAAAGAGAAGATCGCTGGCGAGCCATGACGGCTGGAAAAGATTAGTGTGCTGGAAAAAGTGGAGTTTTTTGGATTGGGCTACCCCCATTGTGCCTTTGCTGAAACCTGATGGCAGTGTTCACGTCTGTGGTGATTACAAGGTGACGATAGACCCCCTTTTTGGAAGTATCGGAACACCCAATGCCTACAGATGATGACACCTATCACCCAGTTACTGGAGGAGAGAAGGTTACTAAGTTGGATTTGTCTTCAGCGTACCAACAAGTGCTTTTAGAAGAGGAATCGAGGCAGTACGTAACAATCAATACCCACCTTG